TTTCCCCCCCCCCCTTTCTCTGTTTCGTCACCCCCCGCTAAGGAGCGCGGGACATTTGTCGACTCCCTCATTCGACAATCGTTTCGAGCAGTGACGTGGAACCTCGTGGACCAATTCTTTGGCGTTTCAGACGCTTGAGCGCTTCGAGCGAGTAGACATGTTTCGTGCGACAACCGAGAATCGAGACAACGTGGCCTGGGCCACCATGGTAGAAAATAAAATTCTCAATGTGGGTCGTGCACTGCTCAAAATAGAAACTCGCGCCCCCTGCCCGACGCGCCCGCGCTGCTTCTTTCTCGCGACCGGCGGAATGTAAATGAAGGCAAATCTGTCAGGACGATCCGGCTTCAATCTGCGACTGATCTTTTATAATGGACGCAAAAGAGACATACAGTTTTCTATATTTTTTTAGAATCATAAAGTGTATCTAGCGATAGCTATGTTAGTTTCTCGATTCAATTAATCTACTTCTAGAGGAAGCTCCGCGCGGAATCAATGCTCTCAGAAATTATGTCAAGTAAAAATATTAATTCCTGTTTAACGAGAATAGAAATCATCCAATAGTTGCCTTTAAGGCAATAGGCCAAGGATAACGGGATGATCGAATCCAAATATGTTACATCCAAGATATCTTGGTGAGAAATTGTCATTGAAACTCGGAAATAATTGTCATTATCCTGAAATGTTAATTCTATTGATTATTACTTCATCCGAATAATGCGCTTTTGCCATCTGAAAATTTCTATGCGCAATGAGAAAAGATATCTCTATCTACGGAGATAATTGTAAAATAAATTAATTAAAATTAATTGTTTGTTACACACACAGATTGGAAAAGAAGACGAAGGAGTTGCAGATTGCAGAGCGAAATGCTATGATATACGAGACCCGCTGCAACGATTTGCAGTCGCAATTCAATCAGTCGCAGGCGGAACGCAAAAAGCTCGCCGAAAAGGAGCGAGAATTAGAGAAGGAATTGGACCGAATGAAAGGATTACTGGACGACGCTCGCAAGCACCTCGAGGAAGAGACTTTGCAACGAATTGATCTCGAAAACAACATTCAGAGTCTGAAGGAAGACATCAGTTTCAAGGATCAAGTTTATCAGCAAGAGCTTTCGGAAACTCGTACGAGACGACAAGTGAGCAAATTGTTGGAAACAACGAGCGACTTTTAACTCGTTTTAGGCCGAGCAATTTGCAATAGCATTTCACGTTTCAGGTTGAAATATCCGAAATTGATGGTCGTCTCGCTGAACAGTACGAAGCTAAATTACAGCAGTCTCTGCAAGAATTGCGCGATCAGTATGAAGGACAGATGCGCGCTAATCGAGATGAAATTGAACTTTTGTATGAAAACAAGATCAAAAACTTGGCATCTCAGGCCCAGCGTAATAGCGGAGCTGCCACTATGGCGGTTGAAGAATTGAACCGGACTCAAAGCAAAATTGAAACTCTCAATACCAGAATCAATGAACTTGAAGCCACCATCAACGCTCTTAACGCGCGCAACAGGTAATTTAGTTTACAGAATCCTTTTATAATTATTTATAATTGCCGTGTGTCCAGCACTGAGTAAATGGCATATCCAATGCATGAATACATACGCTTTTCTCGACAGGGACCTGGAGAATTTACGAGAAAACGAACGCGTTCGTTATACGGAGCAGATGGCCGCATTGGAGGCAGAGGTTGCACGTATGCGAGAGGAAATGGCTCAACAGTTACAGGAATATCAGGATCTCATGGACATTAAAGTAGCGCTCGACTTGGAAATCGCTGCGTATCGCAAGTTGCTCGAGTCCGAAGAGGCGAGGTGAGCATATAGTCGGACGACAGTGTTAATTCAGTTTTACTGATGTGCTTTCACTTTCTCAAATTCCAGGTTAAACATCACGCCTATACAGTCAACCAACACCTCTATGTCTACTGGTAGAACAACTCCGTCCAGGCACACCCCTCTCAGAGGCGGTAAACGAAAACGCACCCTGTTGGAAGAAAGCGAGGAGCGTAGCAGCAGCGATTACAGCGTTACTGGTTCCACTAGAGGTGACGTAGAGATCACAGAAGCTGATCCTCAAGGACGATTCGTGAAACTCACCAACAAAGGAAACAAGGTAAACGGATCAACCGCGCGTTGAATTGGTTTGGTTAATGCGTATCATATTGGATGTTTCTGCAACAGGAAATAACCTTGAGCGGATGGCAGATTCTCCGTAAAGCTGGTGCTCTGGAAACGGTTTTCAAGTTCCATCGTACTGTGAAGCTCGACGCAAGTGCCACTGTGATGGTATGGTCGGCCGATATCGGTGCAACACACGAACCACCGTCGAACATTGTCATGAAGGGACAAAAATGGTTCGTGGCTGACAACATGACCACAATTCTGCTAAATAACGAAGGAGAGGTATGTCCGCCACGTCCACTAAACGCTTCACTTTTACGCCAAATATTACGCATATGTCATAAACACAGGCCTACTTGACGGCGATTCTCATTTTATATTAAAGATACGAGACTGATTAAACGTTTCAACAGGAAATGGCAACATCTGAGCGCAAGAGACAGCTGTTATCCACAAGCTTGTCTCGACACAGGGAAAGCTTAGGATTCCGGTCAGCAGAGGAGCTTCATCATCAGCAGGTAAGAATGCAACGCACGTTTTATTATACATTACGCTGAGCGATGTACGTAGTGCAATGAAAGCTTTACGAGAGATAAAGGCAAGTAAATGTTGCAGCCAGGAAAGTAGGCGTGATAACATGTAACGTTGCTATGTAAAATATCAGCGTTATATTTTAACTGCAGCACGTCTATTTTAATATACTGTCGGTGTAAGATGCTTCTAAGTTCGAAGAAAAAAAAAAAACAAAATTTGGTAACTTGTTATACATTGAAATACTACGTATATCGATATATTATGGGAGTATATAATGATGAATACTATACCACGAAAAAAGGCATAAATCTCAAAAGTCACGCTTTTCAATTCCATTTCCTAAATGCTACCTCAGGAAGACAATGTGGCTATGAGTAATATTTATTCAAAGCTTTTAAGACATTACAGGATTTAATTGATATAATGATGATGTGCGAACGGAGTAATACATATCAGTCGACCAACACTTTTACCCGTTCTTAGAAATTCTCTATGTACGGAATAAGTGTTGCAGTTATAAACATCTAATTTGGGGGGTAGTATTTTTCACGACAATTCACTTCTTGTTCCATAGAGAAGATATTTCTACCCGTATTAAGGGTGAAGGCACACGACTCTGATGGGCACTTTATGTAAGTTGTTTTATAACCTATCAGACGTACAATGTTCAGCGTTACGTTGTCAATAATACTATTCGCACTCATAATATAGGAATTATTTTGCTTTATATTTTATTGGTTCTCATGCAGCACTTTGCCTTGATGCTCACGCTTGACTAAAATTTTCATGCCTTACGAGAGAATTAATATAATCTTTATTGAGACTATTATTATCATCCCATCATTTAACCACATTGTCTTTAATTAAAATTACTATCAAGAATTACATCTACACACACACATAGATAGAATTTTTTATTCCTTTATAAAATGGGATTTTCTCCTTTATAAAGTGGGGTTCGACTGTCAAATATGTATTGTGACTTGAAACTATTTGAAATGTCACACTAGTTTTATCTTTTATTTTAATATAGAATACACGAATATACGAATGTGAGATTTGCGTGGAGCGCGAGCTTTTCAATCGCGATTCAAAGCTTTCTCTTTCTCTCAGCTGGATTTTTGTCTGACGTATTTGAATGGTTAGTTCGTTTTTATGTATTTACATACATACGCTAATATGTCACAAATAATCTGAGAAACTGAGTATGCGCTTATTTTAATTTCGAATGAGGGCGATAGTAACATGGGCGATAGTAACATGGATAACATAAACTTAATTTGGCGTGCATACACATTGTACTGCACATCAATACAGCGATAGAGATATGATGTCGAGTAATAGACCGTGTGAAAGAAATTTGCAGAAAGGAATACTTGTAGAAATATTTGTGATGTTGCAATTGTGTAAGGGGAATATATTTCACATTTTTACGTACATGTATTTCACTGTGTGGATTTAACAATATGAAATATTAATGTTCATTTATATTTGTGACTAAGAATGGGTGATTGAACTATATGAATTGATATTTCATTTTATTTTCGTGAGAAAACCCCAATCATCCGCTTAATATTCTTGAAATTGATTAATTAATTTCCGTGTTGACAATTTTTTAATTCAATGTTACTAAGTTCCATTGCTGAAGTTTACTGGACATATAGTTTCTATACATACAAACTTTATTTGAAATATTTTATAGCCTGTTTGTTTCGGATTTTTAGTTTCTAGTGATATACTTCAACGTTAGATCAGGAGAATTTGTTTTGCGTTAGTAAATGAGTACAATCTACTGATTGATTATTCTATCAAAAAATAAAATGTTTATTCTGTCATTGTGAGTCGTATTACTTGAAAGTAAAAAGGTTCTCCGATCTGTCATTAAATGCTCGAGGAATGGAAGGATTTACCGTTGAGTTTGAACGTTTGAAGAATTGGCTGTCTAACTTGCCGTCGAGTCTTATCACTTCACAGCGTATCTCTGACCTGTCGTTGAGTCGTGCCACTTTTTTTTTTTTTTTTTTTTTTTTTTT